GCAGTATAAAAACATTAAACGAGATAATAAACAGCTTATTCCCCTTCCTTTCGCATTTATTTTTTAACTACTCGGGTCTCACATGGATCTATGGATACATTTCCAAGGTGGCAAAAATAATCTTTTTGAAATTAATGATTTTCTTTTCATTAATTATCATCGTCTACAACAACTATTGTAATTTAGTTGGTAAATAAACATAATTTCTTTTTATGATTTAGACTAAAATGCCTATTTTTTTTCGAATCATTTATTCTCATTTGTATCATGATTGTTTTTTTGGATTTATTTAAGCAAAACATTTGAACATCATTAATAAGATTGTAGAACACAAATGAAAACAATTAAAGACGTCTGTAATGTTAAGAAGAAAATGAGTACTGCGCTGGAGGATTGGCGCAACACTAGATTATTGGCATATACGTCCCGTCCCTATCTGACAGCTGTCAATGTCATTCAGACGTGTTAGAACAGCGTGCCATTCTGGCGGGATCAGTAGCTCGGAGTGTTTAACTTAATTACGTTAATACAATTAAAGTAATCGCTAATAGCAATAAATTACTTTTTAATTTATTTTGGAGTAATAATACAAAATTTGTTTTACTCCAAAACAAATTATAGTCACCTCAGTGTATTGTGAGTGCATGTAACGCTAGCCGGTCCTACTCTCCGGCACCAAGCGACGTCCGAACACGTGTTTATTTTTCATTTCCGCTCGCACCGGACCTCCCCTCCGCGCCCACATGGCGCAAATACCCCACGAGGAAACCGCTCTCATGTCAGGTTAACGTATACAAAAACAAAAGATACGCTAAATCAATAAGGAAGAAAACAAGCCATACCGCATTGTTTGTCTAAAAAGAACGCAATAACAGACTCCAGTAGAGGATGCTCTAGTAAATTAACGCATTTCAAAAATAAGCTATCAAGTTTATTCCAGACGATGCCGAAATTGATACGCTATACCTAACAATAATAAATGCCTTCCGCCTATAGGTTTTTAGTAAATGCGCCAATTATTAAAATCGACGTGCACTAGTATTGGCGTTTTTGTCAATAAAACCTTGAAAAATATCGAATGTTCAAAATATCGAACTACAAAATTATGATTTTTCCGTTGTGTAACCTTATGATAAAGATGGATATATAATTCTAGGAACAGATATCGTC